GCTCAGGTGCGAAGGAGCAGGCACAGCACTGGGACATCACGCCTCTGAGGGGCCGCAACGCCAGTGTGTCATGTTTCAGAGGCCAAAGGGTCGCCAAAAGGTCGCCAGCCGCGCCCCTCGACCGCCGACACTGCAGCCCCGACAGCTACGCACCGCGGTGCCGCCGTGTCTGCACAGCTTGCAGCTGCCGAGCGAGGCCGCCCGCGGCGGCGGCCGCGCCGGCAGGCTGGTGGAGGGAGGCAGCAGCTCAGACTCGCGCGGCGATTGCGCGCATGTCGCCCCGGGGACCGGCGCACTATAGCACATCCCCAGTGCCGCCGCCTGCGTCGCCGCCTGCCCGACTAGCGACGGCCTGCGCCCGAGGCGGGGGTCGCGGGGCGCCGCTGGCGCCGCAAACGCGCTGAAGTCGCCGCCGCCGCCCTCCGCCGCGGCCGCGGGTGCCGCCCCTGGGCTCTGCCGCTCCTGCGGCGGCACGGTGCTGAGAGCAGCCACCAAACGCTGATAGTCCTCCTCCTCCTCCTCCTGCTGCTGCTGCTGCTGCTGCTGCTGGTCATGGAGTTGTGTCCAGGGGCCACTTGCGCCAACCGCCTCCTGCCCGCCATCCCCTCGCGTGTGAGGCGCCCCCGCCACGCCATCCGTGCGACGCCGCTTTGGGTCCCGCTCCTCCTCCGCCGCGGCCTCCTCGCCGCGGAGCCTGGGCTGCTGCTGCTGCTGCTGCTGCTGCTGCTGCTGCTGCTGCTGCTGCTGCTGCTGCTGCTGCTGCTGCTGCTGCTCCTGCTGACACTCGTTTTGCAGCTGTATGTGCCCGTGCTGGTGCAGTGAGGGCGGCCGCTGGTGCTGCGGCATCAGCAGGCCGTGCTGCGCCTGCGGCTGCTGCCGCGGTGCATTGTCCAGCCTCGGCGTCACATGCACCTGCGGGGCACCGGCCTGCGGCGACCCGCCAGCGACACCAGCTGCGCCGGCGCCGCTGACCAATTCGTGACGTGCGGCGGCACCGCTCAGGGTCGAGAAGGCGCTGCCAGCCTGCGTCGAGCCGGCAACACGGCCATAGGCTGCTGCGGCGGCAGCGGCGGACGGGCTGTGGGTCCCGTTCAACAACGGCTCGCCGCTGCTTCTGGCCACTGGCCTACCCGCCAGGGCGGCCGCCTCCGTCAGAGAGGTGGATGGGGGCTGGCACGCGTGCGCCTCAGCAGGCCGTGCGCAGGGCCCGCTGAATCCCCCAAACATGCGCCGCCGAGTCGGCGGCTGCTCCTGCTCCTGTTGCTGCTGCCGCTTCTGCTGTCGCTCCTGCTCGTGTTGCTGCTGCAGCTTCTGATGTCGCTCCTGCTCCTGTTGCTGCTGCAGCTTCCGCTGTCGCTCCTGCTCCTGTTGCAGCGCCAACTCTTGCTGCCGTTGCTGCTGCTGTTGCCGCTCCAACTCTTGCTGCCATTGTTGCTCCTGCTGCCGCCCCAGCTCCTGCTGCTCCGGCACCTCTTGCTGCTGCGCCTGCTCGTGCTGCTTTGATGGGGACGGCTTTGGCCCATTGTTGGCCGCAGCCTCCACGTAGTCTGCAGGCGGCTCTGCCATCCCGAAATCCAGCAGCTGCCCAGGCGCCCCCGCCTCATGACCTGGCTGGGCACAAGGCGGCGGCGGCGGGCCCGGCGAGGCCCGCTGCTGCAGGCCGCGCTGCGCCCGCAGCTCCTGCAGTGCGGCCAGCGACGCTGAGAGCCGCCTGGCGGCGCGCTCTGCTGCGTGCTCATGCTCTTCAACCACATAGCTGGGCGGGGGGGGTGTGGCGGGTGAGGGTCCACAAGCAACCTTGGGCGCATGGTGTTTGGCCAGGGGTCATGACGCGACAAGTGCATGCTGGCATGCCAAAATCTTCAGCCAGGCGGTGAGCCCCCCAAGGCCAAGGTTCCACACACTCGGCCCTCACCTCCACGGCTGGCGTTCCTCTTCGCCCTCTGCAACCTCCGGCCCCTCCTCGCAACCACCAGCCGCCCCCGCTGCCGCAGTGGCCGCGCGGTCGCCGTTGAGGCGCCGCGCCATCCGCTCACGCAGCGCCGCCACCTGCGCCTTGTTGTACTGCTGCTCCTCCAAGTCCTTGAGCACGCGCGCAGCCGCCAGCGCCGAGCCGACCGCGGTAGCGTCCACGCGCACGGCGGCGGCCAGCCGGCGGGCGCAGTCCAGGAGGGCGGCAGTGGCGCGGTGCGGGGGCGCCAACATAGAGAGTCGTGTGCCTGGCAGCGACACCGCGGCCCCGCCCTTTTTCAAGCTGATGAGTTGCACCTACTCATAAGAGGGTGGGAGGGTGGGAGGGGGGGCGGCAGCATTGAGTCCTGGGTGCGGTCAACTTCTTGCTTCCCGCAGCGCCCGCTCATCGGTCAGCAGCCCAGCTCATCGGTCAACAGCCTGGCGGCACGGCGCGCGCAGCAAGCAAGGCGCCCAGCGGGGCGCGGGGCGCGTGGGCGCGCGACAGCCGAGCGCTCGCCTGAGGAGCGTCGCCGCTCAGGTCGATGCCGTTTATGAGGGCGGGCTGCATGCGGCGGCCCTGGTTACACGACAGCAGCACAAACTGTCCTTGGAACAGCGTGCCAGGACCATGCGAGGGATCGTGCGACTGCGCGGCGGCGCGTGGCGAGAGAAGAAATGTGGAGCCAGGTGGGGGGGGGGGGGACAGCCCGAGAATCGAGAGGCGCACCCTCTGTGGCTACGTTGCGCGCTGCAAGCGCAACACCGATTCCATGTCAAGCTCTAATCTGGCCTTGTCCTGCTCTGCCAGGGCTTCCTACGCCCCGCCGCACCTTTCCAGACTCGCCCAGCGCCTGCATCACTTGGGCGCCCTCTGGTGTCTGCAGCGCTGAAAGCCATTCGGCGACTTCCTCCGGGCTTCGGAGCAGTTCGTAGACTTCCATGACCTCCATCAAAAGCCGTGCGCGCCCATGGGGTTGAGCAGCGGGCTCACACCGCCAGAACGAGCACTCCACCCGCGCAAAAAAAGCTGTAGATTGCTACGGCGCACGCAGGTCGGAACGCAAACCAGCGTTCGATCTAGATACAACTACCATAACCTTCACACCTCAGCTGCAGTCCGACGTCTGACCCTTCGACGTCGCACGTACAGGCAGAGTGTTCCGGCCCTGTCGCAGTTACCACCCACAGCGCAGGATTATGTCTCAAGATTGTATGATACTGAACTTGTCCACGTAACTGTGCCCGCAGCACCACTGGCGAACCTGCTAGCTTCCCCGTCCATGGGGGTCCGGGGGTGTCCCCCCCCTGGCGCTTGCTCAATCGTGCTGAGCCGGGATGATCGTTGTAATTCAGTTGCGCGTGTTGCCACATGGGAGTCATGCGCGGACTGCATAATTACCCCAAGGCATTGCACAGGCCGAGCCGCACGCCGATGACCGATCGAGATGCACTGGACTGTTGGGTGGGAGAGCCGAAGGTGACGGTTGTACGAGGTCTGATATGCTGACTGGACCATGCAACATCGTAACGGCAGCTCATCACATTTTCTCTATGACCGTTCGTCGGCGTTAGGCATTGAAGGAACGTTTGGTGCTTGCACTGAAATTCGCAGTGCGCGGAGCACTGTCGCTGGCCTGACGTCACATGCACAGTCGACTTGGAAACAGTGGGCAGGTTCTGCGTGGCTGGCACGCAGCGGCGCCATACCGTATGTTGCAGAGGTTTTTGGAACGTGCGCTTGTGCAAATGCATTCTGGGCTGTGGGTGATGAGAATTTTCGTAATGTTGCCCACTCATGACACGTATGTGCGTGAATTGATGGCTAAAGCGAGCTGGCACTCATAACATGCCCCTTGTGACACAGAACACACATCGCATAGAATCATGCGTACGCACTGGGTAAAGAGCTGCTTGTGAGCCGCACGCCGATGACCGATCGAGATGCACTGGACTGTTGGGTGGGAGAGCCGAAGGTGACGGTTGTACGAGGTCTGATATGCTGACTGGACCATGCAACATCGTAACGGCAGCTCATCACATTTTCTCTATGACCGTTCGTCGGCGTTAGGCATTGAAGGAACGTTTGGTGCTTGCACTGAAATTCGCAGTGCGCGGAGCACTGTCGCTGGCCTGACGTCACATGCACAGTCGACTTGGAAACAGTGGGCAGGTTCTGCGTGGCTGGCACGCAGCGGCGCCATACCGTATGTTGCAGAGGTTTTTGGAACGTGCGCTTGTGCAAATGCATTCTGGGCTGTGGGTGATGAGAATTTTCGTAATGTTGCCCACTCATGACACGTATGTGCGTGAATTGATGGCTAAAGCGAGCTGGCACTCATAATATGCCCCTTGTGACACAGAACACACATCGCATAGAATCATGCGTACGCACTGGGTAAAGAGCTGCTTGTGTCAGCCCGCCCTATCCTGAATTCACACGTTTTGATTATCGTGCACGGATGCGCCACGGCTTCCCCGCCCCTCGGCTCACATGCGCCTTCCCACCTGCATCAGCCACCTTCACTGACAGGCACTGTCGCCGTGGCCATTTTGCCTCACTGTCGCCGTGATTTTCTCTGGACAAGCGCAAGCACGCACTGTGCACCTTCGCCCATTCTTGCCGCTTTTCTTGAAGCCCGCGCTCAACCCGCCCCTTCTGCCGCTCTGAGTGTCTAGCCGTCGCACTCAGGTGAATTGTGATACGAGTATCATTGGAATGGGCAGGGATGCCCCACTCGCTTTGAAGCACTCCGCTGCTTGCCGCACTCTTGACGCTGAACCCCCTGTGAGACGGTGGCGGCCGACCGCAACTCCAGGATGGTTGAGGCATACTTCCATTCTATATTACGTGTAGATTTCAGTTATTTCAGCAGCCTACATCAATTAGGGGCCGGCTGGATCACGCCTATGCATCACATAGTCACAACGATCACGCTGTGCTTGCGACGGGCGCATTGCAGTGACAGTGACGCGTGTGTGGTCTGCGAAGCGGCTGCAGGTCGCATGTTTTAGCAGCAAGTGACCCTCTACTCAGAACACGAATTGATGCGGTATGCGTCAAAGCGCCCAAGTGCCACAGATCGCCGGGTGACATTGACGAGTGCCAGGATCGCCGAAGCACTGTACAAGGGCGTTTGCGTTCAAGAAGAGATAGCCATAACGCACCCGACGGTAAATGTCACTTCAGCTGGTATAGAAGGGATCCACCTGCGAGGGCTGGCGGCGCAACTGCTCAAGTGTTCACGGCGCCTTGGTGCGCTGGGTCCCTGGACCCCTGCCCGTCACACGTGGCGTCCTTGCAGGGCTGTTGGCCAGCGCTTTTGGGGCGCTAGAGCACAGCCGCCAGCAGCCAGACACGCTCATCTTGTTTCGTGGTGGGCCTCGCTCGCACGGCGACCCCGCGCGGCAGCAGTGGCTGCAAGGCAGCGGCTGGCCAGGCAGGCCGGGCGCTGTACACAATCTGGTGCCTGCAGCTCCGAGGCGAATGATAAGCCGCCAGGCCCCGGGAACAAAGCGCATCGGGAAGGCGCGGCGCACGCACTCTGCTGGTCCCCGTCCGCAGGCCAGGTCAAGGGCATCCCGCCGTGACACGCTCGCGCCTCGCCAGCCGCTGGCAGCCATGAATAAGGCCGGCATGGAGGGCATCATCATGGCGATAGCCCTGGGGGTGTTTTTCGGGTACAACGCCTGGCTCATGGTGGGATTCGGGTGTCTCGTTGTTTGTGGGCCGTCGGGTCTGCGCGTTGTGCTTCAAATGTTGGTGTGCGCCTGCACGCATGCCCAAAATCGCACTCAAAACGTTCTAAACATACGGGAACGCGCACGCACATGCGCACACGCGTCAGAGGGCGCAGCGCAGATGCCGGAGCGTGCACACGCACATACATACACACCCGCTGGCATGCACAAATTACGCGCACGCGCACACACACACACACACACACACACTCACACACACACACACACACACACACACACACGCACGCACCCACGCACACACACACACACGCACGCACCCACGCACACACACACACATCATCCAGATCGTCCGCCCTGCTCTCGCCAAGCTCCGCCGCCCCGAGAAGTCGCGCGTGCACGACTACTACGCCTGGGGCAAGCTGGGGCGTGCCGTCTTCTCGGACACCTGCTGCAGCGACCCGAAAGAGGCGATCCTGGCGGTGCAGCAGGCGCGCAACGCCATGACGGCGTCGACGTACCTCGCGACAGTCTCCTCAATACTCGCGACGGCGGGTGGGCTGCGGTCGCGCGTGCACGCTGAGTTGCGCGTGTGGGCGAGGTTGTGTGGATGTGTGTGTGTGTCTGTGTGCGTGTGTGTGTGTGTGCGTGCGTGCCAACACGAGTGTGACAGATGCGCTCCATGGTGCATCTGCCAGACGGAGGGTGCGTCGGCCAACTCCACCCCGCCCTGCGTGCAGGCGTGACAATCCTCCTGGAGCCGTCCAAGACTCAGCGCATCGCCGAGCTGTCGGTAGGCATGCGCAGTTGCGGCGCGTGTGGTCTCGCGCTGCACACCTGTGCCAGCATAAGGCGTGGCGCAAGTTGCTCGTGACGACGACTTTGTTGCGGGGGAAAAGGGGGGGCCTGGGCTTGGGGCGGCGTAAAACCCTATGCAGGTGGTAGGACACGCTAGGCCGCAGTGTCCAAGACAAGCCACAGCACAATGCAGTCCAGAAAGAAAGCTAACGCAGACGGTGGCGAGGTTTGAACTCTCTTATCCACGCAAGTATACACACCTATTGCAAGTCACGCCCCCAATTTGCAGGCGCGGGACCCGATTCTCAGCCACTTTCCAGGTGCGGCACATGCCCCTGCACTCGCGCCGACTGGCTGCCGCGGCTCGGCGCATGGAGGGTTGGGGCGCGCACCGTGCGCCCGATACCCTCCGTGTGCCGAGCCACTGCACCTCCACACCGCCCCTCAGGGGGCTCTACCATGTGCATGCGAGCTTCTGCAGCACGCATGCATCACCTATCGCTCTGCCGGCGCCTTATACACCGCGCATTCCCCCCACTTGATTGTCGGCCCTGGCAAAACGCCAGGGGAGCCCCTCACCCGCCCGGAGGTCGTCATCATGTGCGCCCTCCTGTCCCTGTACGCCTCCTTCGTCTGCTTTGGAATGGTGAGACGCCCTCCGTGCGCACTAAGGCGGTTGCAAAGCAAGGCCGTGCGCGCTAGATCAGCCGCCCTGGCACCGTGCCTCTTGGGGGCATTGGCAGCGATGGGGTTGGAGCAGGCAGCCGCGCATGCGGACTGATCCCCGTCGTTGCGCTTGGGGCCCGCGCAGCATGTTGGTGATCCTGGCGCCGCCAGCCGCACAGCCGCTCCGCATCGCCCCTGCTCATCGCAACGCGGCCGACCAGAGCGTGCGCCTGTACGTCCATTGGGGGTTCTACGTCCGCTGCGTGTCAAGCCCCCTAAACAAGGACATCATGCACATGGACGAGGTCAAACTGGTGGCCATCAGGTGGGAGCTGTCGCCGGACGCGTTCAAATTGCAGGGTCGCTGTGCCCTGCAACGTCGGGTGTCCCCAGCATGCCGCGGCGCCCGCTCTTGATCAGAGCTGGTCTCAATTCTTCTTGCGCCTGGCTCGAGGGAATGTGAGGTGCCTTGGCGCCCAGCCAGCCTGTCTGCTGCAAACGGCCCCATCCCTGTGCGAGACGTGCCGCCGAACCATGCTGCTGCCCTGGCCCCATGCACTCCTGTGCAGGGCGGGCGTGGCTTTTACAATTGGCATGCGGCTCTTTTACCTCTTCATTGTGCTGGTGGGTGAGGCCAGCAAGGGTGTCAACGTTTTTCCCTTGCAGGGTACCGTGGTTGGACCCCTGGTGTCCGTGTCGGATTGACATTGATCTCACCCATGGCAATGTAGGGCCTGACTCAGCCTGTCGGACGATTGGGGGGTGGGCTGCATGGTGCATGCAAAGCCGTCGCTACACTTGCTTTTGGGACCCACGTGCGTGGGCCTTACAAGGCAGGCATCTCCTGTGCCCCTCTCGGCGCTGCCCTGGCGAAAGAGACTGAGTGCAAAGCGGTTGTGGAGTCACCATCACCTGAGCTGCCTGCACATCCTGCACCTGGCATTCGCTACTGCGCCGCGCGGATCTCCTTGACAACCGCCGTCACCTGGCCCCTTCCGTCCAACGCACTCAGATTCTATGGTCTGGGGGCGTCACTTGGATGCTGGTGGCGTCACTTGCCATAACGGCTTTCTCATATCATTATGACACCTTCGATGTGAGTGGCAGGAGCGTGTTGCGTCTGTGCCCACCGCCAGTGGCGCTCTTGCGTGGTGCACTGACCCCGGCGGAGGCTGGAGCAGGGCTTGTGGCTGGGATGCAGGAACGGGCGCGACGCCCGCTTGCAATGGCACATCACCTGAGGCGGCTGCACCTGCGGCAGCCGCTGCTGGAAGTGCCCCCCCCCCCCCCC